CACTCACCTCAGCCTCCCAAAGGCGCGGGATGACAGGCTGAGCCACCGAGCCCGGCTAGGCAGGCACTTTTTGTTCAATGACTCACTGATTCCACAGACCTTTATTAGGCACTTCCTGCGTGCCTGGTGCTGGCCAATCGCGTGGCAGGAGGGCTGTGGCATCTAGGAGTGCCACACAGAGAGGAGGGGGACAGAAAGGCAGGGGAGGAGAGAGACAGACAGAGACGGAGAGACGGAGATGGCGAGATGGGGAGAAGAGAGACAGGGAGGAGGAGACAGACAGTGACAGAGAGCAAAGACAGAGAGATGACGAGAGGAGAGACACAGAGACAGAGATGGGGAGAGGAGAGACACAGGTAGAGACAGAGAGATGGGAAGGCGAGAGACAGAGATGGAGTCTCACTCTGTCTCACACTCCTCTCCCTTCCTCCAGGGCCCCCAGCGGCGCCCGCCCTGCCCAGGGTGCGATGCCGGGCCCCTCGGTACCCGGTTGCCGTGGACTGCTCCTGGACCCTGCCGTCTGCCCTGAGCACCACCAGGCCCGTGGCTTTCATTGCCACGTACAGGTCAGAGCGCGGAGGGGGCCACGGGGACACTGGGCTCCCACACCCCAGACCTACGGAATTCCAGGATGGCCCTGTCCAGCCAAAATACACTTCCTAAAATGCACGTGGCATGTTGCAAGGCACAGGCATGCTTTAGTTTGTTTGTTTGTTTTGAGTCAGTTTCTCACTGTCACCCAAGCAGAGTGCAGTGGCACGATCGTGGAGCACTGCAGCCTCGACCTCCTGGGCTCAGGTGATCCTCCTGCCTCAGCCTCCTGAGTAGCTGGGACTACAGGCGCACACCACCATGCCCCAGCTAATTTTTGGATTTATTGTAGAGATGAAGTCTTGCCCAGGCTGGTCTGGAACCCCTGGGCTCAGGCAATCCTCTGGCCTCGGCCTCCCAAAGTAGTGGGTTTACAGGTGTGAGCCACCGCACCTAGCCTAGGGGTGCTTTAAACCTCTCTTGGAGGCTGGGTTCGGTGGCTCAGCCTGTAATTCTAGCACTTTGGGAGGCCGAGGTGAGTGGATTGCCTGAGTCCGCAGGTTTGAGACAGCCCTGGCAATTTGGTGAGACCTTGTTTCTACAGCAAATCAAAAATTAGTGGGCGTGGTAGCACACGCCTATAGTTCCAGTTACTTGGAAGACTGAGGTGGAAGGATCGCCGGAGCCCAGCAGGTCAACATTGGGGTGGCCGTGAGCGTGCCCCTGCACTCCAGCAAAAAAACTATTTTGTAACCACATGAAAACAACACAAACAACTGAAAGTAATTTTAATATTTATTTAAGTAATATCTAAATATTTGAAACATTTATCTTTTTTTCCTTAAATAGAGACAGGATCTTGCTATGTTGCCCAGGCTGGTCTTGAACTCCTGGCCTCAAGCGATCCTCCTGCTTTAGTCTCCCAAAGTGCTGAGATTACAGGCGTGAGTGGCAGACACAGTGGCTCTCACACTTGTAATCCCAGCACTTTGGGAGACTAAAGCAAGAAGATTGCTTGAGCCCAGGAGTTTGGGACCAGCCTAGGCAATATAGCAAGACCTTGTCACTACAAAAAAATCAAAAAATTAGTCAAGTGTGGTGGTGTGCACCTGTAGTCCCAGCGACTCAGGAGGCTGAGGGAGGAGGATTGCCTGTGCCTGGGTGGTCGAGGCCGCGGTGAGCTGTGATTGTGCCAGTGTGCTCTAGCCTGGATGACAGAGTGAGACTCTGACTCAGTAAAATAAATAAATTAAAAAGTCACACTCAGTGACACCATCCTTGCCTCAATGGCTCACTAGTCTTGGGTGGCCAGTGGTTACGATAGAGGACAGCTTCCAGAAAGTTCCACGGGACGGTGCTGAGCTAGAGCCTCGATATGCTAAAACCCGGCACCCTGGGGCCTCAGAATCGAGAGAAGTCCCATTACTTTGGGGTTCAGAATCTAAGTATGAATCCGTAGGCCTCTGGAATGTTGGAATTCTAGAGTCGAAATGCTGACATTCCAGAAGCCTTTATTGTATTTTTATTTTTTTGAGTGGGGGCTCACTCTGTCACCCAGGCTGGAGTGCAGTGGCACGATCACAGTTCACCGCAGCCTCCACCTCCTGGGCTCAGGCGATCCTCCCACCTCAGCCTCCGGCTCGGGCTACTTTGCCGGGTCTCGGAAGCCTTTAGAATTTGGGTCCCGAGCATCTTCTTGTGGTTTGTGACCTTCGCCCCGGCTCATTGCGGGCCTTGGGATGCTGGGACCCACGACCCCCTGGAGGCACAGCCAACAGCAGGGCCCAGCCCAGGGCTCCTGGCCTGTGGCCTCCACTGGGGACAGTCCCGGCCAGGAGACCTGCCCGGGGACATACGAAGGCCAGAAGACCTGCCCAGGCCCTCGACCTGTCCACCCGTGCCCTTCGACCCCGAGGGCGGGGGACCCCTGGCGAGCGTCCTGAGGTGACGCGTGGCACATTGCGATGTGTGTCCAGGCTCGGCATGGCCGCCCACGAGGAGAGCCGGCCCTGCCTCCAGCCCACGCCGGAGGCCACCAGCTGCTCCATCGAGGACATCCGGATGTTCTCCCTGGCGCCCTACGTGCTCAACGTCACGGCCGTCCACCCCTGGGGCGCCAGCAGCAGCTTCCTGCCCTTCAAGGCGGAGAACATCAGTGAGTGTGGGCGGGCGGGGCGGCGCTCCATCCTCTCCTCCCCGCTCATGACCACGCCCGCCTCCCGCGGGTCGTCTGGTCCTGGGGGCGGGGCTGGGCTCCATCCTCTCCGCCCCCTTCAGGACCACGCCCAC